CAGAGCCTCAAGCTATCCCCCTGGGTAGAGTGCCATGGCATCACGCTCACAGCAACCTCCAACTCCTGGGCTCAAGCGAGTCTCCCGCCTCAGCCTCCCAAGTAGCTAGGACTACAGGTGCCTGCCACAAGGCCTGGCCATTTTTTGGTTGCAGCCATCACTGTTGTTTGGCGGGCCCGGGCTGGGGATTCGAACGCGCCACCTTAGGTGTATGTGACTGGCGCCTTAGCAGCTTGAGCCACAGGCGCCAAGCCTAGCATGATATTTTTGAGGTAGAGTCTCACTATACTGTCCTGGATAGGGTGCTGGGGTGTCATAGCTCACAGCAACCTGAAACTCTAAGGCTTAAGCGATTCTCTTGCCTCAGCCTCCCAAGTTGCTAGGACTACAGGTGCCTGCCACAACACTGGGCTATTTTTTGATTGTAGTTGTTATTATTGTTTGTCAGGCCTGGGTTGGATTCGAACCCGCCAGCTCTGGTGTATGTGGCTGGCGCCCTAGCTGCTGAGCTACAGGTACTGAGCCATGGTATGATTATTTTTTTTGCAGTTTTTGGCTGGGGCCAAGCTTGAACCTGCCACCCCCAGCATATGGGGCTGGCGCCCTACTTAGCCACAAGCACTGCCCCACAGTATGATTTTTGATACATATACACAATGTATAATGATCAAATTAGGTGGTTTTTGGGTGGCACTTGTGGCTCAGGGAGTAGGGCGCTGGTCCCATATACTGAGGGTGGAGGGTTCAAATCTGGCCCTGGCCAAGAAAAACCCGCAAAAAACTGCAACAAATTAGGTGGTTTTCTTTTAATATTATTTGGTTCATATATTTTGGTACTACAATTTTGATATTTTGTCATTGTTATAACTGTTAACATCTTAAATTATGGTAAAATATAGTAATTATTATCTTAGTCATCTGTAAGTGTAGCCCTACTATGTGAAGAAGAAAAGCAGGGAACCTAGTAAAAACTGTTCATGTGGATAGTGGCAGCTATGATTGGCATTGGTGAGGGTAGGGGTCAGGGTCAGTGCTAGCTTAGATGGGCACGTCCGTACCACCTGGTCCTGGGAGGCAGCCCTCACAGGCATTCAGGGACTATGTGGGTCAGGAGGGACAGTGGTTTTACATTGGGTGCCTAAAGCCAGTGGGCAGCAAGGTCAAGTTTGGAATCAGGGGTCAGCTGAAGGAAGTCAGCAAGAAACAAAAGGAGATGAGGTTTGGAAGTAGATTCAGAACTCCACCACCCCCCAGCCCAAGGATAACCAG